CCTTCATTTTCTTTAAAGCCTCTGTAACTTCAGTTTTACTAATACGCCGATAAAAACAGAAATCTTTACTTTCATTTAGGGTGCTAAGGTCACTATAGTCAATCTTATTATCACACACTTCATTAAAAAGTTTAGCAAAATATCTCATCCATCTTTGTTGAATATCATCTTCTAAGAAAAGTATTTTTTGATCTTCATCCTTAATACACTTCACTTGAACTAAATCCTTACTACTCCTATCTCTTTGTTTGGCTAACTTATACATATATCTTTCTCCCTCCTTAGTATTTAATCTATTATATAAATCGCTAAAAGCTAATGTCTTTGCATCGCATATTGCTTTCTTAGCATCCTTACGAGCCACTTTATATATTTCCCAATTATCAGAATTTTTAAAATTAAACCAATTTTTATAACAAATCTTCTTATTTTTAATCTTTTCTTGCACAATTGGATTCCACCACCAACTATTTTTACTATTGGGAGCTTTTCCCCTAGATACTCCAAGCACATCTTTTGCAGTATTCTTAATATCACTAGCCACTTTTTCCCACATAACATTAGCATCCTCATGCACAGACAAAATCTTAAGATCTAAAATCTTACTCACAAAAATATTTTGGTTAATATTCTTTAAATGCCCCCATCTAATCCTCGAAAAACGTTTTACTTTATTTTTTATTTTATGCCCCTTTATCTTAAAGTCCAAAACTAATAATCGATGTTGGGTACATAAATTTTCACTCGGAATAACTTTACAATCTTTGCAATCTAAACGGTTTAATTTTCTAATAAGAAAATAGTCAATCTGGGTTGTATTATATCCATTTTTATAAGTGATGAGATGCTCATTCCTTTTCTTAAATAAGGTATTAGCAATTGAAAAATCATAAGCTAAACAAAAATCTAATATGGTCTTGCCACCTTCATTCGTCGTTCCGAATCCATGGCCACCATGAATGCTTTTAAAATCAACTACCTCTTTACCAACATGTCCATTTAAATCTCCTCCAATAAAAACTCTTTCTTCAAGAGGTATATTTTGTATTAATTCTTCTAAGTCATTCCAAAAATTTAATTTAGAACTTATATCCAAACCTACCTGAGGAGCATAAGCACTTATAATATTAACAATCTTATCCTCAACAACAATCTTTAAAGCTATAATTCTATCACCAATCCTATTAATTTTTATAACATTATCCTTTAAACTCTTATCTATAATGACACCTACACCATTTCTAGTACGACTCCTACCCGAATACCAAAGTTTAAATCCTAAACTATCGATTTCCTTGGCCTTCTCTCCAACCCACTTAGTTTCCTGAATGCATAAAATATTTAATTTCCTATGAATCATAATATCTATTAACTCCATTAATTTACCTGTAAGGGAACCTATATTCCAAGTTCCTATCCTAATTTTAGTATCATGGACTAGCTTCTTTGCCCACATCCGTCCTTGATGCGGGAACCCTTGCCTATTTAACACTGCACCCGGGCGCCGGTGCAGCGGCCCTTGCACACTTGTCACTGTATTCAGGCCATACAGCGCGTCGCTTCCAGGGGACGCCCTAGCATTAACACAATTTCTTAAAGGATTCATGACATTTTTGTTCAACAAGTTTTACGCTGGCTGTCGACTACCTAACGCAACCCTCCACTTTTCTCATCCAGGACTTGGGACCTGGCAACGGCAGTGTTTTCTATCACACAAGAAAACACTTATGCTTAATTTTATGCTTCTCTTTTAATGGCCAACATTCTGTACCATAAAACATTGCAGGTCTCACCATCATCTTATAGAAATTTCTCTTAAGTTTGAGGAGTACTTTTCTATCACACAAGAAGCCCGATGCATGCATCTATATTAACAGTGACAAATTCTCGTGCTAGGTAATGTGAATAGCATACGGCTACAAAACTCAGGAATTATTAGCAAATAAACAAATAAAAAAAGAAACTATGATAAACTAGACAAAAAAGAAGAAAGTTACCAATATTTGAACCATATAGAGTCACCGAATTGAAGTTCTCAGTTTGTGCCTCAATACTCACTTGAGCATCACGGATAAGTCCATGCAAATAAACATAGGAAAATGGAACAGTCCCTATGAACTCTATTCCCATCATGACCATTCGAGCAACCCAAAAGAACAAAATGTCATGTCTGCAAAGGCAAGTAAGATTACAAAATTACTTTAAATTACACTTTACCATGGAAACAGAAAACAGAGAGAGAGACCCAAACTCATAGGAAAGGCAAATTTGTACATAAAGCATAGCCTTTAGCTTATTATTAAAGAAAAACAATCCTAATTTCTACAGATTATCCTCTATGTTAACTATACAGCTTGCATATCAACTCTTAAAACTATGATCCAAAACCATAGAATTAATAAGACTACTATGGAGATTTTATCTTTGTTTTTTAAAGTATTTAGAAGGAAAGGTGACTTCTTCGTTCATTCAGGTCAATTTAGAAGGGAAGAACAATTTCATCTTTCCTCCTCTTAGTTTACCTTAGCCCTTAAACATCCCCATTCAGTTTAGAATGAAAACAAAACAAAAATGGCCATTTCACTAAATTATAGAAGGAAAGAAAGACAAGTTTCATATGTCCACGTATCAAACTAGAATCTACAAAGCATGGGAACAAAAAAAAAAAGAATCTACAAAGCATGGGCCAATTCACTAATTTATGGAAGAAAGTGCACATACTAGAGCAACTCGGCCTATGATCATTTTACAAGAAAGGAACCAACTGAGCAGCAAAAGTTTGTTCAGAAGAATGATAGGAAAGGTTTGTCAAGATAGCTCAGTAGCAACCCAATCAATCAAGCACGCCACACTAATACCTTTCACAAATTAGAAGCTATATTAACCCAGTGACCATCAACTAAGAAATTTCAGAACCGTATTCAAATTGAAATTACAATAAACAACAGATAGCTGCCCATTCCAAGATTAAATTAAATATGGCAGCAATTCCGGGCTACTGATAAGCAGAAGAAATATCAGCAAAAAACATTCAAGAGCTCCTTTTACTCCATCTAACCCCCCACACTATTACTTTAAAGGTATAACAGTCCTTGCAATCCTGACAGCAACTTCTACATGAATAATAATTAATTTGAGTACGATAATCAGAGCCACGATGGAGGCAATTTTTTTGCTAGCTGCTAAGACATATAATGCATATAGAGCAAAGAATGGCTCTTCGTATGATGCTCAATTATATTATAAAGGATGTGAAGCGCCAAAAGCATTTATATGATTCAGAATCAGAAGAAAAATTGTTTGTCAAAGGTAAGCCCAAGTTATTAAGGACATCGATGATGTCACAACAACTAGCATTAGAACTTGTATAGCCATCAAATAGTTTGCAATTATAGTAGCAATACATTATGAATATATATTAAAATTGTATCCCTTTTTTTTCTTGGTTATGAATATGACTATAAAAGATATTCAAAAAGAGGTGACTTTCTATATGCTACTTGTATTGAACAAATGATATAATCATCACATGTAATATCTCTTATGAATATATTCAAAAGTTAAAATGAAGGGCAATCGATTATATGATATAAAATTTCAACAGAATTAAAATTAGTAACTATTTATCTAATTATTAGAAAACTAGGTGACACCTAGGTGTAATAAAAATAACTAGTTTTGAATATTTAACACAAAAGAACAAGGATATCGCAAAAAGCATAACTTTCAGAGTTAAAATCAGATGATTAAAATAAAAGTGTTTCACAAGTTGGATTTGATTATTGGGCAATAATAAAAACCACTATAACCAAGAGTTAAATAAATGAGAATTTTAAGATGGGCTCATAGTAGATAAAGGATAAAGTGAGAAATTTTGATATTGTAAGACTAGTAGGAATAATAACTATTAAAGATAAGTTCAAAAAAACAAGTTTACGTGCTTTAGTCAAATACAATAGAGGCCAAAAGATGTACCAATAAAACAAGTAGATAAATCTCGTGTAGAAGGATGTAGAAAGAAAAGGTGTAAACCAATGTTGAAGCGGCAAAAACTAGTGCAAAAATATTATGTTAAATAAAAATTAATACTTCTTGTAACACTCAACAAAAATGCATGTAGAAAGCATAAAGAAAACACTAAATTAATTCAAATAAAGCTAAAAATAATGATGAAAAAATGACTTAGCTAATGATCTTGATACTGAAATGAATTAGCAAACTTGACATCAACTTGCCAGTAAATAATATGGCCAGTCAATAACGAGAGCACTTTAACTGAAAAAACTCAATATAAATCAGAAGTATAAAAACTATTTGATGGAGCAATTAGTGAGCAATATGCACAAGCTTTCCTACAACTAAAAATTCCATATGAAAAGGTTCGATATGAATTATGGTTTGATAACAGCATTAGCAGTAGGCAAGTCTTCCCTTATTCAACAAGCAGGCATATAAATAGAATGACAATATAATACTCTACAAAAAACACCGAGAAAACAATGAAAACCATTATTAAAGACACCTTAAAGTTGGATTGATTTTCTAGAGATGGAACCAGAAGTCAACCCCTCTCAAATCATAGACAGCAGTAGAGCATATAAAGCATGAGATACATGACTTATATAAACAACAACAACAATAAACATTTATCCCACTATGTGGGGTCCGCTACAAGAATCCTTTTTCTCCATTGTGTTATGTTAAGGGTCAAATTCTCATCTAAATCTAATAAAGAAATGTCATTTCTAATATTTTCCAATCTAGTCTTTTTAGGCCTACCTCTACCTTTCTTGATATAAGTCAAATCTAATACATCTACTTTCTTAACCGGGTCATTGCAAGGCCTTCATGTTATGTGACCAACCTTTTCATGTATATGCTCATTTCGTATCCTGTCTTTAAGAGTAAAGCCACTCATCCACATGAGCATCCTCATCTCTGCAACCCTTAACTTAGTATTATGCTTCTCTTTTAATGGTCAACATTCTGCACTATAAAGCATTACAGGTCTCACTACCATCTTATAGAATTTTTCCTTAAGTTTAAGAGGGACTTTTCTATCACATAACAAGCCCAATGCATTCCTCCACTTCAACCGTCCAACTTGAATTCTACTAATAATATCCCCTTCTATTTCACCATCACTATGAACAATAGACCCAAGATATCTAAAATGTTTGCTCTTATTAATGACTTGATCGCCCAAAGTCAGAATCCCCCCATTAGATCACTTATTACTAAAATTACACTCCATATATTTAATTTTAGATCTACTCAAATGAAAACCTTTAGCCTCTAAGGTTGACCTCCATAATTCAAGTTTACGTTCAACTCCCTCTCTATCTTATCAACAAGAAGAATACCATCAGCAAAAAGCATACACTAGGGTAAAACCTCTTGCAAATGTCTAGTGAGAGAAAAAAAGGTATGGATTTAAGGCCGATCCTTGATGTAATCCAATTGAACTAGGAAAATTCTTGGTCAAACCACCTTTTGTTTGAACACAAGTAACAGCTCCTGCATACATATCCTTAAGGACTTAAATATAAGCAATATTAACCCCTTTCTTATGTAGAACTCTCCATAGCACTTCTTCTCTTGGAACTTTTTCATGTGGCTTCTCTAAATCAATAATAATCATATGTAGATCCTCCTTATTCTATCTATACTTCTCCATCAAACCTCTCAATAAATGTATAGCTTCCATAATAAACCTACCTAGCATGAATCCAAATTGATTTTGAGAAACATTAATGTCAAACCGCAACCTATGCTCCATAACTCTATCCCATAGTTTCAAGTATGACACATTAACTTAATCCCTCTATAATTCGCACAATCTTGTGCATCACCTTTATTCTTAAAAATAGGAATCAACACACTCATTCTCCACTCATATGCTATCTTTTTAGTCTTCAAAATAGTATTGAAAGTTTAGTAAGCCAAGAAATTTCTTCATCTCCTAAGCATTTCTCATATGCTTTCTCTAAAAATAGCTAACTCGCATTGGGTTTCTCTTATTTGTTGGGTTACAGTTCCTAACTGACATACAATTAAGTCTAAAGTACGCTGAATTTGCTCGAGGTCCATTGACTGAACTTAGGTAACTAATGCAGACACAACAATAATGTAAAGATGTTGAATGAAAATGGATGCAAGCTACTAAAAGCAAGTGGGGAATCCTAGAATGCAACTAAGATACAATCATGCTCGAATACCAAGATGATGTGAAACATAATAGGAATTGCATGAATTTAATAAAAATTTGTTAAGCTTGCTAATTTTAAAATTAATGTTTCACCAGATTAGATTCTAGGATTTCTTACTTGCGATTGTGCTTTAGCATGCAGTTACAAGAAAATTAACATGATAATTTAAAATAACAACAAACTTATAGTAAAGCTGAAGGCATAAACAACAAAAATCCACCGTTTAACAAATAAAAATTTCACCTTAAGTTCCTCTCACTTTTACTCTTGAGGTGGCTTTAACGGAAGAATAATTTTAACAAACTTAAAGATCCCACCAAAAGACAACAAACGCCTGCAGTATTGCCCAATGAAAAGTTGGTCGGAGGGGAAGAGGTTGGTGGTTGTTCAATAACTCGTCACTGTCCGGAGATTTGGTGCTTGTCGATGGAAGACGTCAAAGTGAAAAGGATCGGTCGACGTAGTCGTTGACGGTGTCGTCGGTCTCCAAGTTAAGGTCGAAGAAGGATGATCGGAGAATATCTACTCGTCCTTGAAGATCATACACAAATCCATGATCGTGCTCTGGATAGGTCATTCACGGATAGGGAGGCTAAGGGGATTGGTTGTCTTCTCCCTTGAAGATGTAACAAGCATAGGAGGGGAGGCGTAGGGGAGGAGGTGCCTTAGTGTGGTCGGCCAAAACAAGAAAAAGGACTAGGTTAATTTTAGATTTCTGAAATTAAAAGTAGGTGATTGATCAGTGGGATTAATTGTAGAAAAAACACAAAGGGAAAGAGGGGAGGGGGTGACTAAATATCTCCTTAATTGGAGTCCTTAACGGAGAAGGAAATAATTAGGAAAGAGGGAGAGAGGGGGTCGGCCAAAGGAGGAGGGGGGGAGTGTCAACATACAATGTATGTGTCTAGGTGCAATAAATGTTGAAATTGAAATTAATCCCAATTTAATTTCAAATTAGAGA